CACAATTTTTTGTTTGGTACGGCTGTGGAGCGTCGACTGCAACCAAATAATTCCTCCCAGCATGCTCATACCCATGACCCGCATAGTAGAAAAGCCCTGTTAAGTGAAAAGAAATTGTATTAAATAGGAGTTCAAATTTGCTAATTTCATAATGAAGAGATTTCAAAATCCACGGGTGGAAAAAAAAGTAACATTGCATCATGGTCATAAAGAGAATCAAATGGAGAGCTGATTTATTTTTTAAGACACAGATCACAGTAGCAAAAGTATTCTTGAGTGCCATGACCATTTCCTTCTTGTTGCCATTTTATCATAGACACAATTTCTATCTACGCATCTATACTCGTGTTTCCCTTTCCACTGTTTAAGAATAGTATTCACTTACTTCCCTTTTAACATCCAAAACTACTTTGTGATACTAACACATCTTTAATAAATAAATAGTTTTTATACTAATGTTTTTGTTTTTTTAATTCTGCCTAAATCAAGTCTTGTAGTCATTTATAAAAAGTGATCTGATCTGCATACTTAAATACTACTGCATAATTACAAACAAGCCATAGTTCAGGATCTATGAAAAACAGCACAGGACGTGAGAAGGGGAAGTTAAAAACAGCATTTCACAACGGTGAGATGCTTAATTTATGCTGCTCAGCACGTAGCTAATTTAGTCCAAAATAGACTCACCATAAACTCCCCTGTCAAGAAGCTGAATGAATTTGTCGATAGCAGCAATCATCTCTTGCCTGGTGAGGTCCAGCAAGGATACCACCCTAAAGCCGAGCTGCTGCAGCAGGTTGCCCAGCTCGTGGACATCCATGACGGGCGCCATCAAACCAGGGTGGCAGCTGTAATTCAAGTTGCCAATGAGAAGGGCAACCTTATCAGTGGCTGAAAGAGAGAATGAGATAAAGAAAGCACAAATTATAGTGATACTTTCCTTTTTACTGTGCATTAGAAAATGTGTCTTCTGCAAAACTGTACCTGTTAGTGGAGGCTGTTCAGGTTGCACTAAAACATTGAAAGAAAAGCAACACAAGTTTAGCATTTGTGAAAAAAGAAATGAGCTGAAACAGTAGAACCATTTGTGGTTATTACTGCATTAAACAAAGCATGAACCATAAGCAGAAGAAATGTTGGTTTCACTTCACATCACTTTCCTGCTTTGTGTCTAGGTATGGACTAAGCACTATTTGGAGACTAACAACTTCCTTTTCACTCTGTAGAAATGGGAAAGTACCTCTACCACAATGGCAAAAAACAAAGCCTTTCGGATAAATCAGCAGAACAGAAGGACTATGAAGAAAATCTCGTCTACAGTCAGTTTCTTTTACTCAGAAACAAAGACAGTAATGCAGGAGGGAAGGGTAAAAAAATAGGAAAATGTTTAGAGTTCTGTTTGAGACTTACCAATATTGATATCAACAGGCTCTGTCCATCTCTCTTGTAAGACATTGGATATTGAGCACAGATAGGATCCGCCATGTTCTGCTGTTACACCATCAATCTGTGAGATTAAAACAGCAAATTACTTTTATTTAAACACACTTCCACAAGTGCAAATAAGAGTTTTAAGGAAATATTGACCACACTTCTTAAACAGGTCGGTAAACAAGACTGGTATGATTTACACATAAGACAGAGTCCAAGAAATCATTATCAGTAGCATAGTAAGCAAACATTTATTATCTTGCCTCACCTGCAGTATATCACTGGTCTTGTCCAGCAGTGGCTGTCCATTTCTGTACCACTGGTAGTGTGGAGTGGGGATGCCAAAGGCAGCACAGCGAAGGCTGAGTTTTGTTCCCAGTTGAACTGTTTCTGGTTTGGGATTGATAGCGATGTGCGGCTCACCCTGCCAGTCAACTGGCAAACCTGAAAAGTAACAGGCAGAGATTGTTATACAGGTATGGAGTTTGTCTTATGTGGAACATATGGCCGTATAAATTAAATGAGCATAATACCTGATTTATCAATGTCCAACACTTTCACCTTTACCCATTCGCTGAAGATGTAATTATGAAAGTAGTCATTGACTCGGCAGACATATCGCTGAGTTTTAGAAGCTCTTATAGTCAGGTCTGCTTGAGTACCACCAGGCACCTGTCAAAAAAGGATGTATGAACACATTTTAGTATTGTTAACTGAAATCAAAGCGCTTAGTCATTTCACCCCTTCACAAATTTCTACACACCAGTCAGATGTTTTTTCTGTTTGTTTGTTTGGTTCCGTCCTATTTCTGTTTGTTACCCACAAACAAACCATTTCAGATTGATTTACTTAGCTGGTGGGTACCCATTCATTTCACTTAGAAGATGGTGAGGAAATGTGGACATAAATAAATACAAATATATATATAATATATAATAAATAATATATATATATATTACGTATTGGGTTGTACCTTTACCATTTCTAAGACACATTTCTGACAATTGGTGTAAACAAAGGTTAGTTAGTAATTGATTATAAAAATGAGTAGTGCATGATGTGGAATCTGGCAGCAGGATTCAAATTGTTCCATTAATTTACTTGGATCTATCACAGATCTGTCGAATTTCATAAGCGCTGACAGATCCAAACAAGCACGAGAAGCAAAATGCAAGACTGAAAGTACTCATAATATTATATGCACAATTAAATTAAGTTGTGACTATTTATTCCCATAATTCATAAAAACACTGAACTCTAAAGACACTCAATGGCACATGGACATAGAAAATAGTTTGTTTCTGAAAAATAATTCGCAACGAGTGGGTACGAAGATGGAAAGAGGCGAAGTATCAACGCTGCAGGATATTTGTTGTTCTTACGTAACCTGCTGATTTATATTAAAGTGTTTACTTTTACTAATTAAAACATCAGTGGCAAAACTGTGGGGCCTTGTTACAGGCACGAATTGAACTGTTGAACTGTTCCACGGATCGAACAGTGACAGACGGCTCCAATTTCACCAAAACAACCAAACCAGTGGGGGGAAAAAGCATTTGTGGGGCAAATGACCAACTCGAGATCAAACAAACACGGAAAAGTTCACCGGAGGTTATTGTTTTAATAGATCCCCTCACTCACCTCCTTCTCGTCTTCAGAGAACCACTGGTAGCTGAGAATGCCGCTGCCCTCCGCGCGGACTCGCAAAGTCACTTTGTGGTTCACCGGCACGCACACGGAGACAGGGTGGCGCACGATGACGATTTCTGAAACAAATCACGACAGACAGTCGGTCACCTGAAATCACACGCCGTTGTGTTTTGTTTTCACATGAGACGCGCTGAACCGGCGCGGTGGCAAACACGAACCTGTAATCATTATGGGGCAAGATCCAGTCATTTGTGCATTTTCCTCTTCTTACATCAGACTGTAAGAACAGCACTGTTAATAAAGAAGTATATAAACACACACACACACACACACAAAAAGCCTCCAACACATCCGCCTGAATCGCCCATAAACGTTCACTTCTCATTTCGTTGTAAGTAACATTTTTGCTCCGGTTTGTAATATTTCACTGCATACCTGCCGTCAGCCTCGGACCGGATGAACAGTTCTCTGATCTCGAACAGAATGTGTTTTCCTGTCGTAAGTCTAAAAAACCTCTAATATATAAACTCCCTTCCCGGAACTAGAGAAAGCGCACATACATTACCGTAGTTGCACTAAGAGAGCATTCGAAATGCAGGCTTGAGGTTAAATTATGAAGAAAAGCCCTTCAGAACCTTTAGGTTTCGCCAGCTGTGAAATAAAATTCTGCTTCATGCTGAAAAATATGACACGATATGAACTCCAAGCTGTCCCAGATCAAAATGAAGCATGCAAAGGAAGTTCAAAGCGAGCTTCGTTTATAGACTTTACGGTAAATGAGCGAGCGGCTCCTTTTCCATGCAGCGCAAACCGCGGACTGAGGTCACAGGAACAGATAGGTTAGGACACATTAAGTTCGTCAAACTTAATGGAAAAGAGATCATTTATGTTTCAGCAGCAAATTCCAGATCAAATCACTCCAGCTTCCTTACAAATGAAGTGATGGAAAACAGGCTTAAAACTTAAAAAAAAAACTATTACACAACTTTCATCTACATCATAATACAATGAAGGTAACTAAAAGAAAGCACAACAAAGATTTCTAAACCTCGAAAATATGAGTTTCAGTTTGGATGCATAAGGTAGGTATCCAAACTACATACAAACTTGCCAATCTGTAATTTTTCTCTCTGTGTTTTGGAGAAAACATATTTTTCAAAAGACCTTCATGTTAGTCCTTTATGTTGTTTAACCAGTTAGAATTAACTGTTTTTGAATTGTGAGGAGAAAACTGTCTAAATTAGATATATTTTAACAAACATCATAAATGTTATACCTCATGTAATATCACATTTTGACCCTCTAACGGTCATATTTTTCAAACAGTAGAAATACAGCAAAATGAATAATTCAAAATGTCCACACACCAAAATTAAAAAAAATGAAAACATAAAACTGAGAAATAATTTCAAATAGCTATATTTTCCTTGTCTACATTGAATTTAACCAGTTCAAACACTTCACAGTGCCATAGACTAGAAATAGCTGCATCCAACAACACCTCCTCTCAGTGTTATATGTATAGATTTATTGAGCAATTTAGTTATTGACTGATTTATTATTTTTAAGCCCTTCTCTGGTAATCTGTCTTGATGCGAGCTTGTATGGCAGGTGTTGTCCTTCAGTGATTCCCGAGAAAGACTTTGGATGTAAGCTTTTAACTCGCAGCAGCTGCATTTTGAACCTTATTCCACTGACATGATCAAGTGTACATTTAATCCATTGCTTCAAGCCAGCAGAGTTGGATCCAAACAAAGCAATGACTTTTTTTTTCTTGATGACTTTCAAGTAAAGTAATCTCTATGACAAAGTATACGTGGTTATGACTTTTGATTTTAATTTCTTTGTTTAGGCCAAAGCCTCGTTCTGGAAAATCTGATGTTCTGCTGCACCTATTTGTGGGCCTGCTATTAATAGGGCCCCCACTGGCAACACATGCATGTCTATGATAGGCGGTTACAGATTTTCCTCACACAGTCTAGCCCAAAAGCAAAACCGACAACAACTCAATGGTAAGCTGGATAATGTAACCTTTTTCATAGAGACGAATGCTTTGGCTCTGCTTTTGTGACATCGTAGTTAATAGCTGATTTTATGTTTGTGCCTTAGCCACAAACAGTTCAACTGGATAGTGCACACTATTTATAACTCACTTCAATCCAAGAGCTTTGCTTGGTCAAAGGACGTTTAGTCTAAACTTTGTCTCTGAGTAAAAGGTTCTGTTAACATTATAAACTTACTTTATTTTTACCCACAGGTCCTTCAGCTGAAGAGGGTCTTTTTATTTCCCAGGGAACTTTTACATGGACAGCTCAGTTAATTTTGAGCCCCCTTTTTTCCCCTCCTTCATTGTATATTTTTTAACCACTGGTTTATATATCTGGGATTTTTTTCTATATATATTTTTTTGTTTATTGCCTTAGTGGACAATGACTTCCAGAAGGCCAATGACTCGGTCATTTTCTGGCAATGGGAGAACCAGCAGCTTCAGTGAAGAGGAAGGCAGCTCTTCCAACGGCCGATCCGAGAGCCGCAATACTTATCTGTCCAATGTTCGGCCTGAAAACAGGTAGGAGAACTTCTTTTATGATCCAACTCTTTGTTTGTATTGCTGCTATCATGGTAGTCTCTGAGTCAGACGGGTCAAGTTAAACAATCACGAAGAAAAAATGTAGGTGGAAATGTAAATAAACAATGTTCAGCACAAGAATGTTATCGTACTGAGTACCTAAGGTGCTGATCCAAAAAAAGTTTCCATGTTAGATTGCAAACTATCTAAGACTTAAAGTGGTTCTTGTACCTTAAGAGGAGTGTAGTTACAACAGGCCAGGTGAGTAAAGATGATCCAGATTTTAATTATTCACTGACGCTCCTTCATTTGCCTCCTTCTGAATAGCTATTCAAGGTATTCTCACTACAGATCAGCGAGGTAATTCCGTATTTTAAAACATTCCTCCCGAGATCCCAACTAACATGTTAACCACAAAAACTGGTTTATCCCCAGAATGAAGCCAACATGTTTTAACTGCCCAGTGTTCAGTACAGTTGACACCTTTGTTTTGCTTGATCTCTCACATGTTTTTGTGTCACATTTTTTCTTTTTTACAACCTCGCCTCTACTAGACATTTTCATTAACATGTTGCTTAAGAGCGCCCCGTGAATGTACTGCACCGAGGTGGAGAGGTTGCTTTGATGAATGAAATTATGTGTAATGCTATTCTTCTGTTTTGAAGTGGGACACTGACTGTGATGTGGCCGTGTTTTCTTTCCAGGAGCACGTTGTGCAGTGTTATGGCTCAGCTGACTGAGGACATACAGCCATCTTTTGAGACCACGCTGAAATCCAAGGCTGTGTCAGAAAACTGCAATGTGAAATTCACCTGCGTTGTATCAGGTGGAGCCACTTCCTCATCTTGTCTGTGCTTGTCGTTGGTTTTTGAGAAACTGAAACTTCTCAGGTTGAATAGATGAAAACACACAAACACACAGGATGTGACTAATATGGAAACAAAGGGCAGGATTTAACTCCTTGGACATTATATTAGCTACTTCTGGAATTTAAGTTTACATTAGGCTGGTTTGTTCTGAGTGTTTTTCACTGCAGGCAGATTGTTTGGGTGGGACCATCTGGCTGCAGCAGCTGTTAAGTATTTGACACATCAGCAACATGATTCAACAGACACGAAACATGCTGAATCTATTATTCACAGAGGCAGTAATTAAGTAGATTCATATTGTGTTTACTGGGTTACCAAGTAGGTTTTCACGAGAATATGCTGCGAAAACAATTTGCATTTTGTGGTGTGAAGACTTTAATAATTGTTTGGGTTTTTTTTTAAATATAGGTTACCCAGCCCCTGAACTGAAATGGTATAAGGATGACATGGAAATGGATCGCTACTGTGGACTCCCTAAATATGAAATCCACCGAAATGGGAAAACTCACACTCTTCATATTTACAAGTATGTCTAAGGAATTTGTCCAAATCATATAGAGTGCCAGTGAGTCAGATGTTTACATACACCCATCACTGCCATGAATCACATTTAATTCTGGGTTTTTAATAATGTATTTCAATCATTCTTTTTCCTGGGTGGAATGAAAGCTTGTTGATGATTCTAGATAGGGCTAGGTTTCTATACAACCCACTGAGGGACATTTATCTCTCAGTGGAGTATGTCCACTGAGGGATATGTCATTGAGTTGTATGTCATTGAATTTTTAGACCCAAAAAATTAACAATAGGAGACCTAAATCCTCTTTTTAAAATGCATTAAAGCTGTATATTGTCTCATCATTTCACCAAAAAAAAAAGAGTTGAATGCACTGAAAAAAGTCTAACACTAATGACATTAATGTTGTAATCCCTGCTTTCGGAGTGATGCAATGACAATGTCAGAATATAAGAACAGGATTTTCTTTTTTCAGCTGTACATTGGATGATGCAGCGATCTACCAGGTTTCAGCCAGCAATAGCAAAGGTATCGTCTCCTGCTCTGGAGTTTTGGAGGTTGGCACCATGAATGAGTACAAGATCCACCAGCGATTCTTTGCTAAACTCAAGCAGAAAGCAGAGAAGAAGAAAATGGACATCGAGGAGAAAGGAAAGAAGGACAATAAAGAAAATATTAATAAAGAAGAGCAGCGACGTAGCCCAGAGCTTCCTTACAGGAAACGCTCTGTGCCACCACTGGAGGAGAAGCCAGTGGTGAACAACTCTGCCACAGCAGAGCAGCCCGGAGATGTAGCTCAATCAAAGGCACTTATCACAGAGGGCAAAGATGCAGGAGACATCGCTTCTGTAAACAGTTCTTTGGAGAAGGAGGAGTCAGCAGAAACATTGGCTAAAAAGAGAATAAAGATGTCAAATGGTGTAGATACTGGGGTAAACGGCAACATTAGTAAAAGCCATATAATGGGAAACGGAGGTGAAAATTCATATGATGGAGGAATCAGTTTGGCTCAGTTTTTGGCAGAGACTATTCAGTCCCAGTCTGGTGAGGAAAGTCAGGAGGAGAAAGCCAAAGAGACAAGCATAGTTATTTTAAGAGATTATCAGGGAAATGATACTGAGGAGAAGCTGGAAGAGCAGAATGGGCAAGAATGCATAAGTGAGGAAAGGAGACAAGAGGAAATAGTGATGGACAAAGAAAAGAAAAAGGAAAACCAACCAGAGGTGGCACACACAACAACTTACAGCAGACTCCAGAAGCCCAGTGGTTCAGAAGTCAAACAAAACAGCAAGAGTCAAAAGGATCATGACCAGCATAACATTCATGCCTCCATATCCTCAATGCTGCACTCTGTTAAGGACTTCTTTTTTGGTAAGAGCAAGAAGGACTCGTACAGTGTCTCGCACATGGACAATGAAGATGAATATTTTGACCACTCAACAGTTCTCCCTGAACCGGATATGCCTCCATCATTTCAGCTGCAAGTAGGGCATAGTTCTGACATCCTGGCAAATGATGATGTATCAATGGAGACAGATAAGGCATCAGAACCCTCAGAAATTGTGACGCAACAAGCTGCACCAGCAGAACCTATTCAATTTAACTGTGAAGACACAGGTCTAATACAAGATCATAAGCTGATTCCTGAGATTGTGAATGAATCTGCAGGAAAGAGAATAGAAGAGGTTAATGAGACTGTGGAGGCCATGGAGGAATCGACAGAGGCAGAGAGGAGCAGTTCAGTGGAGAAAACATCATTGTCTGGGTTTCAAGTTCATGCTGAGGTAAGTAGGTAATCTGCCATTTCCAGATTAAGAATTGATTTTATCAAACAAAACTGAGCTGCACCATGTTCATTTCTTAATGTCAGGTAACCATGACATAGCATGCACATAGACATTTATGATCGTTTGCTATTTTCCTCTCACGTGAAAAAGTTAGACAATGCAATTATTTCATTATGGCATACAGTGCAATGTCACTGATATACTACAGATAAAGTGAGTCATCTATGAGTGCGCAAAGTCGAGAGTTAGTGTGTGGGTGTGGAGAGTGGAATAAGGAAGTTATCACAAACTTGCTGTTGATGCATGTGGGGGTGGGGGATATCGGACATCAAAACTGCACAGTGCGAGACATCTAGTGAAATGTCTTCGATGTCGGCCTTTCTGATTGGAACACTGGTGCGTCAGAGATTATGATGAAACATGAACGTCTGAAACGGCTCTCGCATTACTTTGCTTGGCAGATGGTTGGGGAGGTTCAGCAAGGAGTCGTGGAGAGTCTAGGGGCAGGTTTCAACATGAAAGGAGGGCCATGTCACTGTGGTCAGATTCCTCGCTGACCCCCAACCACCTCCCTCTTTGGGTGTCCTAAAATAAACCTTTTCCTCATCCAGCCAAGAGGGTGGTGGGCAGCAGTTCTTTAGTCATCTTACTCTGCTCTTTTGAGAATTGTTTTACTTCTGACGAAACATTGCTATAATTAAAGCTTGCGCTTGATCAAAGACTTTCTCTCAAATTATCTAGTTCGCTACGTTTGAAACACAGGCATAGAAAACTAAACCTTGGCTGAGCTTAAACCTTGGACTATACTTCATATCTGATTGTCTTAAAGTGCTGTGAAAATGTATGTGCCTTCATACAGAATCTTTTATTAATGGAAAAAAGTCGTTGCAAACCAGTCTGGCTTTATGTGAAAAAATAATTGCCCTCCTGTTGTATCATGAATGAACATATCTTGGTACAGTTTATCCAGCCACACCCAGAGCTGTAGAATCTAGAAATCACGTAAAGAGAAATTACTAATATAAAGAAAGTAGGCTAAAAGATCTCAAAAAGCCCCAATCAAAAGAAAATCAAAAAAAGATGGTTGCACGACTCCAGGAAACCATGACATATCCATGGAAGGGTTGCAAGACCAAAACCATTGCTGACTAAAAAGGTCACAAAGGCCTGCTTTACATTCCTAAAAGAAAAAAATATATCATCAAATATCTTTTAGGAATTTTTTGGGTGGAGATCTGGTGGAACTTTTTGGAAGATGTCTGTTGAGTTACATCTTGCATAAACTAGACAATGATATCTGCATAGATTTTGCATATTGCTCCTGTGCACACAAAGGTTCTACCTGGGTATACTGGTTTCCTCTCATCGTAAAAAAATCTGCATTTAGCTATAAGCATGCAGACATGCTTCTTTTTCCTATGTATCAATATAACTAAATAGCAGTTGTTACTGCTCTGGGTGGCGTAAGCAGTGACTAGGTTTAAGTTGCAATTATGTTTTAATAAATGGTATTTTCTTTGTGAATTCAATCATCATTATGAATTAACGTTTTGACCCACTCAGGCTAATTAGGTTATCCGTGCCCTGTGAAAAAGGGAACTGAAGTAAATTTGTTTATTCACACATCTGCAAAGTTTTTGGCATACGACTTCTATGATCGTGTCATCGGAGAGCTAAGTGTTTTTTTTCTCAAATGGGTGTTGCAGTTATTCATACAGAAGTGTCAAAGAACTTAATTTGCACTGAATGTGACACCAGTTCCCTTTCCACAGAAAGCAGTCACTTCTTGTTTTCCTCGTAGTCACTGTGAGCCAAACATGTCACGAGAAAACATGTGGCTGCTGGTTGTCTTCTGTGTAAAACTGAAACATGTGAACACCACAAGCAGGAACATCAAAATTGATTGAAAGATCATTATGTATGTTGATGTTTAAAGTGTTATGTGTGTTTCACCAGTAAGTCCTTTAATGTTTGTCTATCATAAGTTATGTTACTCAACATAGTGACAGCAGAAAAAATACGTCAGCAGAATTTTTGTATCTTTTTGTCATTCATTCACTGCACAGAACTTTGTGTAAACAGCACACATTTGCCTACAATGTGGGGAATTCCTGTGTCCGACTTAATTGAGCACACAAGGACTTCTAAACTCTGCTGCAGTTCTTTTGGGGGTGGTGCTTGTGTTTTGTTCTGTTTGAATTTTTTGAAGTTAGAGCTGTGAACTTTTGATTAATGATTAAAAGTAGTTGGAGTAAACAAAAACTTCCGAATCCAGACTTCTAGACATGCTTTTGGACCTTCCTGTATGTACACACGTTTGGTTTCAGCTCCCATACATGTGACATGAGGTTAGTGTCCTGAAATAAACTGACAGCTCATAAAACTGAATACTTTGACATTTGAAAGTCACTTTTTTGTTCCCTTTATTGTTTAATAACTGATTAGCTTTATTAAATGACCAAAGAGTTGTGCCTGTCTGCTTGGCTGTATATGACGGCATTGTAATACGAAGTCTGCCAGGAACTGTCAGTGTCAATGCTTCTGTTGATTTACAACAGAAATACTTGTCTGGGTCTAAATGTGTCACACTATCAAAGGTCACTGCTGTAAGTTCTTTTTAATGAGCTTCTTAAAAATATTATGATCCCACAACTTGGCTCAGAAACATGTGAACATGTTTCTGAACATGTTTCTGAGCCAAGACACCTTCTGATTTAAAGAAGGTGTCTGTTTACCATCTATGCATCTATACAGCATGAGTAAGCTGTTTAAAAATATGTTAATATTTCTTCAAAAATCCAGTCTCATTGTCATAATTAATGTGAAGAATAACTTGATTAACTTTTCATGAAGCTATCATAAAACTATTTAAAAATAAAGAATCATGAAATATACGAGATTAAGAACATTAAGCCATTAAAATAATTAGGAACTAGTAATTAATGGAGATAATAATTAAGTCTTAAATCTTACAAAGATTATATTAAGAAAAGCACAATACAAATATAAAAACAAGACACAGATACTCCAATTATTAATTTAATGACATACAACTACAAGTTTGTTGATGTTTTGTGACAAGGAATTGAACAAATAAAAATATTATCTAAACTCATAAAAGTTTTGACATTTGTAAATATCTTACTGGTCTCTCAGGAGCCTGATGAAAAGTATTTTCTGGTCTAATTTTGAGTTTTATCCCTATTTTATTCTGAAAGTTAAAAGGAAAATTAACAAAGATTAGGAACCAGCTTTTTCACCACTAACATAAAACTGAAGAGTATCTGACATTTGCAAGAATACGTGTTCTGTCTCTTACTGAACAAGCCTGTAAGGCTGCATCTGTGGTTAACACCTATGTCTTTCTCTGAAAGTCAACTTTTTCCTGACAAACATTTTTTTTATCTTAGGTAATTCTAGTACCAGCAGGCTGACAGTTCTGTTCCAACTTCTTAGATGGCCAAGTTCCTCAATTTGAATCACTTATGTAATATTGCTTAAAAATAGAACAAAATAATGCTGAGCACATATCCATGTAGTCAAGAAAAAGCTTGACTACTTGCTCAAGCTGTATGCAAACATAACCAGATGTAGCAGAATACGATGTGAAGAAAAACAATGATCACAACGGAATATAAAGTGTTTATCAGAGGTCTATGTCCCAGTCGGCTAAACCTTTTGGGATGAGTTCAAACTGAGCTGCTCTCTAAGTTTCTAAGGTTCTTAGGTGAGGGTGACATCACAAAGGACCAATCAGCCAATCAGGGGCAGACCCAGAGTATCGTGACAGCTATGCAACACTAAACAGACATTTTTTTTTCCATGGATTTTTATTATTTTTCAAAGTCATTATTCTTTATTCTGGAGGTGCTTTAACATCAACTGTGATTGTGTCATTTTAAGCAGACCATTGTTTGTTTTTTCAAATATCTTGATTCATTTGGGCAGGTGTGAAAGGTCATCCACCCTAAAAGTGATTATGTATTTACTAGAAACATAAATTCGACTTATGACTTTTTTTGCATTTATTTTTCATACATGTAATCACTGCGACCTTAGCATACCTCTCTGCATACATTGAAGCAAGTTGTTTGGACTTTGGAGAAACCTCAGCCAATTCATAAATGTGAAGCTTGGATACACTGCCTTATACACTGTTTATTTAGAGGAGAATAGTCTTTTTTTCCTTTTACTTTAACATAAGCACAATTTTTCTATCCTTGTTGTCTCTGAGAGATGTCTCATCTATACTGCAAAAACTGCATATCTTTCCATTTTACTGTTCTGAAAAACAAGCATTGCTGATGTTGTTTTTCTTGTCCTGCTTTTGATTTGATCTGACTTTTTTTGAATCTGCTACCTATTTGCTGCCACCCACGACCTGGCTTTGTCTAAACTAGCAAAATATTATGGGTAATTTTCTAAGAACTTCAATATATATTTACACAGAATTAAAAAGAGAATATATATAAAGACTATTGGATGGGATATAGAATTAATAATTTTTTTTTTTATTTCATGTTCTAACAGGAAGGAAAGAAAGACTCAGAAATAGTTTCAGCCATAAAAGAGGAGCTACCACAACATCAGGGGACAGATCACCCACTTGTTCTTCAAAAGCCTAATCCAGATTCTGGAAGAGATTACTCTTTATCTCAAAAAGATAAAGAACTCTCCCTTCTACCCCCCCTTCTCAAGGTAGAAGATTCCTGCACATTACCTCAAAGTGTTATCTCATTAACAGAAAACCATAACCCTGGAGTAGCACTTATGGAAACTTTAGAAAAGGGGGAGCTCAGTGTTCTTAATGTGGACAAAGAAACGCCTGAGATTCAAGAGTATCACTCCTCCCACAGGCCATCTACAGAAGAGAAAGCTCAAGTGAAATCAAACAAACAACCCTACTTGGATGTAAACAAATCTGAGATTACAGATATATCAGCCTATTCTCCAGAAGACAGAATCAAGCAGTGTGAATCAGAAACACCGAATAGGGTGCTGCCTGCTCTTCCTCCCATGGTTGCGTACAGTGCAGAGAAAGACCATCTAAAAGAAGAAGTCAAACCCGCTTCGCTTATTCAGGAAGCTAATGTTGCATATCCGTCCTCTGAAGCTCTACAATGTTTAGAAATGGGTGACCTAAAAAGTCTACATGAACAAACCACTGTGGCTGAGAAAGTCGCAGAAGATCACCAACGTAAAACCATACCCAGTTTAAATTTCCAGGGGACATGTAAGGTGAAAGAGAAATACATTTCTGACTCACAGGATGATGTGAAAATGAATTGGTGCAACAGCCTAAAAACACAAGAGCAATTGTCTCTACAAGTTGATAATAGCTCCTGTTCACAGCTAGAGTCAATAAAAGACACAAGAATGGATCACGAAGAGTTGAGCGAACCTAAGACACTTGTAGTAACAGAAGACAATGCAAATAACTCTTATTTTCTAGAGGAACACAGTGAAACTTCTCATGGAAAAAGCAATGACTTAGGTTGGAGTGCTGACCATGATTGTAGTACAGTAAATATCCCATCAATCCAAATATCTACCACTGAGGACATCCCAGATATCAGACTGCCTGTGCCAGAAGTGAACAAGAGTGAAGAATTTATAATTCCAATCATCAATAAAATGGAACCTGGTCTGAAAGAGTGCACTCTGCCTCTAAGTATTTTGGCTCAAAATAAGCTGGGCTTAAATGATTTGCAAAACCATGATGCAACTCATGAGTCAAAGACAAGAATCCAAGAAGAGAGAGTGACTGATTTCCCAGACATAGTCCCCACGCAGAAAGGAATGCAGCATACCGATGACCTCTCACCTACAGAAAAGTTAAAGGGAGTTACTCAAGAAATGTACGAACACCAAAGCAGTGCACAGCTCCCTCTCATGGAATATGCTTCAATTCCTGTTATAAATGTCTCCTGTAGTGATGATCTGGAGAGTAATACATTGGGTATCAGCAGTGGTTGTGGGACAGAAAAGGCTTTGGAAATTCAAACAGAGAGTCTGTTTGTGGTTCCACCAATATCAGTCTCTTGTCATGAAAGCGAAGCTGAGCTTAAACCGCCTGCTCCCACCAAGAAGACAGAAACCGAAACTTCAGCTAGCACGCCAAGGGGAACAAAGCAAGGTGTAACTGAAAATCTGAGCGAGAAACCTGAAATACCTAAAAGAAAAAAAGATTTAAAGGAAATCTCTGATAAAAGCCTGAAAGAATGCACACAAAGTATGGTTAGTGAAACTCCAATGTCAAAAGTTGGTGGCAGTATGCCAACTTTCAGTAAACCAACAGATGACAATATTGTTCCTGAATCGCCGAAGCAAAAGTCCCCAAAAGACACCAAAAGAGAGAGTTCTGTTGAGGATTTTCTAAAAAACAGACCATCTGTGGAAAGACTAAGCTCCAAGCCCCCAACATACCCATCTTTAAGTCCATCCAGTCTACGCAAATTTATGTCCAAAGCAGCCCCAGAGTTGGACAACGAGCCTACAGCCAACGTCCCTGCAATCTCTGTGGAAGATCGACAAAGTGACAAGGTAGATGAAGATTTCAGTGGGGGGTCGACGCCAACATCATCTCTCTCCTGTGAGAGCAGCCCCCGGCTCAAGCGCCGGGACAGCCTGACACTTATACGTTCTGCCACTCCTGAGGAGTTGGCCTCTGGAGCTCGGCGCAAAATCTTTATCCCAAAAAGAGAAGAAGAATTGGAGGGAGCAGTGTTTAGTGTGCTAGAGGGCAAGAAGGAAAGCCCCTATATGTCACCAAGCCAGGCTCGCAGAGCTGCGTTGCTACAAGCCTCCACGGGACAGAAGACCCCACCAATGGAGAGGCGCTCTCCACTGATGAGTCGCAGAAAGGCTACATTGGAAGTGCCAAAGGTTGTGGAAGAGACTCCCACCATAGAACCAACCAGCAGCACTAAGGTAGAGGAAAAGCCAGCTGGAAAGAAGACAGATCCTTTGAAAGGTAAGCAATCAATAATTTTCATTCATCATTTTGTCATATGATTTAAGAAAAGGGTATAGCTATCTAGAAAGAACTTTAGGTCAACTTCTTTTTCAGAATTTAATGTTCAATAAAATATGTCCTGAGAAGGAAATCTCCAATAAGTTCTTCACATACTTTTACAGTGCTTATTGATTTTAAGTACACTGTTTCACACCAGCTCCCCAAGTAATCCGCAAGATCAGAGGAGAGCCCTTCCCAGATGCTTCTGGACACCTGAAGCTGTGGTGTCAGTTCTTTAATGTGCTCAGTGACTCCACCATTAAGTGGTTCAAGGATGAGGAAGAAATATTAGAGATGAAGAGAAGGTAAACTCCCCACCCACAGATCATTCAGCAAAGATCAAACCACAGACATTTTTAGACATACTAAAAATAAAGACTGAATTTTAATTCAACTTTCCACTATTATTTACATGATGCTATCTTTGACATCCAAAAGCTGGACAAGTTGTAAAATCAAGACAATTAGGAAATGAGTGTTATTTTGACCCCTATCCCCATGGTTCTCTGTCATTCTCATATTTTCACTGCAGAGTTGACCAGCTCATGTGACTGTGAATCCCACAGCCACAGAGGGGTGATTCTCTGGCTAGACACATAAACTGTAATATGACACAATATTTTCCCATCTCATGGGTGCATTATAAAGTCTATATACAGTATGTGCTACTGGTTGCTGTGTCAGCAGACTGCTTCCATATAATGTGACTTCCTTTCTTAGAGTGACACCTTGTGGATTTTTGATGAATTTTGATGTAATTCTAACAAGGCTCTCGTTTCATTTTTCTCTCTTAGTGGAGGAGATGAAAGCCAAGTAGCTCTGGCAGTTGTGCATGCATCAAGCCAAGACTGTGGAGTATATGGGTGTTCAATCAGTAATGAATATGGGACAGACACAACTGACTTTTTGCTCAGTGAAGAAAGTAAGAAAAACAATCAATTGATTAAATTATACAACTCAATTTAATTTAAAAAAATTTCTTGTCCTTTTTTTTTTTTGCAGTTCTGTCTGAATTCTTACTCAAGGAGGACTTGGAAGGTACTTTTCATTGCTATGTGCCATAGCTGCTTCTTAAATCTAGAAAAAAAAAAACTACATTATTGTTTTATAACCCTGCTTTAAGCGCACCTGAGGCTTAACTGGTCTGCTGTGTGCCTTGGTCTTCATGAGGCTGTTTGTTCACTAATGTCCTCTAACAAACTTCTGTGGCTCTAACAGAGGGTCACAGATGTTGTACTGAGACAAAATGTTGAAACATTGAATAGATTTGCAGGGGACGATAAAGCATCCCTCTATATATTTTCCCCAGTTGGAGAGGAGATTGAGATGACCCCACTGGTGTTTACCAAAGGCTTGGCAGACAGTGGCACTTGGGGGGAAAAGTACTTTGGTCGCATTTTCACCGAGACTGTCCACATCGGGGAGGGCTGCACTCACAAAGCCAGCAGGGTGAAGGTTATCTACGGCCTGGATCCCATCTTTGAGTCCGGAAGCACCTGTATCATTAAAGTTCGAAATCCCATCGCTTACGGGACCAAACAGGACAGCACCCTTGCAGAGAGAAATTTGGACATTGCAAAGCAAGTGAGTGCAATGCAAACTGCAATGTGACAAATCTAAGCAAAATATAGTAAACAACTTTTTTTTAAAAGGAGTGTAAAGTCCAAGACATGATCCGAGAATACTGTAAAATATTTGCAGCTGAAGCAAGAGTAAATGAAAACTTCGGCTTTTCATTAGAGTAAGTACTGCTTATCCAACTGAAGTATAAAACTACAATGCAATACTTTTCAGAACCCTGGTGACATATCTTGGTTCTTGCAGAGTTATCCCTCGGTATCTAATTCACCGCCCTGCAAACTCTGTGCCATATGCCACAGTGGAGACTGACCTTACAGGAGACTTTGGGAAATATTGTACCATAGACCTCAAAGGCAAGCTGTTTTCACAAAACATTTCAGAGCTGGATCAGAAATGCTGCACCTTCCAGCACTGGATCCATCAGTGGACACATGGAAATTTGCTGGTCACTCAACTGGAAGGTAAGCCACACATATAAATTATTAAGGAAAAAGTGATCAATGATGTAATTTGTGATTGATGCAAAAATATTTATTTATATTGTTATATTTTTGTAGGTGTTGAAACAAAAATTACAAATATTAAAGTTGCCACCAAGTCGAAAGGGTTTGTGTCTCCCTCTCAATATGTTTCTGATTGCTTGCTTCGAAATCACAATGCAAAACAAGATTTTCCTCCCATGTTTCAGATATCAAGGACTAACAGAATGTGGCTCCCCGGAAGTATTTGATCAGTTTGTGATGCATCATCAATGCAACTACTACTGTGGACTTCTTGGGCTTCGGGCGCTCAAAACTGATCTGCAACAACCGGCCAAGATAAAGGGCTCCAGAAGCCCCCTGCTCAACCGAAAGCTAGGCTCCAACAGCCCACAGTTGCAGAAAAAAGGGCAAAGCCCACAGGTGTCTAGAAAGACCAACGTTAGCCCAAAAATAGCCAGAAAAGCTCAAGAAACGGATAACAGTAACTACGACGAGAAAGAAAAGACCACACAAGGTCTTTTCTGAAGTAGGAACTAAGACTTTAATTTGATTCCATCTTGATGAATCATGAGATATGCGATCCGTTTCTAGTTCCAAGCTTAAAAAGACAAGGACCTTAAAGAGTAAAGGCTCAGCACATCAAAAGTTATTCAAACCTGCTTGTGAAGAAAATTGGGAATCCCCTAAATATCTCAACTCTGAAGATATTCCTTTCCTTTATTTCATAAGTCAAAGGTACAATACAACTCAATCTTTTTCTGTTAAGGATTTCAAGGAAACTATTGTAACCATTAAAGTAAAGGTTTTTCAGACAGTTTCCCAAGAGTCTTAGATTCTTAGTGAGTGGAAAGAACAGTGTCTCCAAGCAAACTCTGCCAAATAACACAAAGGAGAAATCAGCAAAAGGTATTTGAAATTGAAAGTCTAAATTGTACTGTACCAGATTGCAGCCACTGAATGTGTTTGTATTATTACTGAGTGTGTACATCTGTGATGTAGATTATATATATAAATATATAAAAACAAATATTAGTACACCTAAAACTGCCATTGTATCTCGTTTAATTTTTTTACACACCAAAGTCCAACACATGCTGTGGAAAAGCAGCATTACATTAAAGGTTTCATTGCGCACTTTGCTTTTGGCTTTACAATTACTATATATATGTATATATATATAGTCTATTACAAGTGAGTATGTTTTGTCACTTTTTGCAGAATTTCAGGTCATGTTTTTGTAAATTGATCTGCAAATTTAATATGTTTGAATGTAACACAATCCCAGTGAATGTTTAGAAAATCATATTCTTCACGTTTATGAGAGCTGCTGTGAAAGATTTATGAAATGTGTTGCAATAAATCCACATTTCATTGAGACAGCCAAATTGTTTGAACAAAATCCCTGGTATGATGGTGCATACCAGGGATGCACCAATATACAGAATTTATCAATTTTTACAGATCATTATCTGTTGTGCCAATCCTTAACTTGTGAACTGTAGCTGAATAATAAAGTAGCAACAAAATAGCAGGAATTTTAAGAACCCTTTGATTCCTATTCCTGTATTTTATTTCAAACAATAAGCTTGAGTAGAAAATGAAAGAAATTTGGCCAGTTTTTATCAAAAGCCTTTTCTTTAGAGTTGACATAAAAATTAGAAATGTTCAGGAATTTCTGGAATGGGTTCAGTGCTAATGATTAATGAAGTTTATATTTCAAAGTATTTCTTCATACTGCATGAATCTGTAATGCTGCCATAAAGCACAACAACTGGGGAAATGTTTTAAATGAGGTAAATGATTGTTTTTAAAGTGTACATATAAAGGAAAAAACATCTGTGTGAAGAAAAGTTAAATATTCTTGAGGGGAAAGATGTAGAAAACTGACTGCACTGAGTGCTTTCTTAGGTATCTTACAGAATGTCAGCTGATGTATTTTTTTTATTTTTTAAATAAATGCATAAAATCAAATCCAACCATTAGTTTTATTTACAAATCTTTTCAAAAGTTTGTGTTCAACTTTGCAATTATTAGGTGTACTAAAATTTGCTTCACACTTTAATTCAACCTTTTTACATTCACCAGAGTCTGAATTTAATAAATTATTGAAGCAAAATAAGTGCTTCATCTACGTGAAATAAATTAAATCACAACAAATTTAATAAAAAGTAGATCAAAAAATATTTCCTGTCAAATATTATAAATGGTAACACTTTATGTAGCTTTATGTTATTAAAGCCAAAGTTTAATCAGTAATACTTTTACAACAAATTTATGTCATATCATGATTTCTTGGTTAATGACAAGTTGTCATAACAAGGACATTTTGAATAATTTCAACTTTGTATTAAAAGTGTCATGATTTACCGAACAACACTTTAAGACAACAGTCATAAATATTCATGAAGAAACATGACAAAACAGGTGTTTTGTCATGTTTATGACGGTGTCATGACAGTCTTATTCACAACACGTCAAAAAAAGTGTCACCAAACTTTACATTTTTTATGATGCCTACTACATATATTCACTTGCAGAGAAAGAAGCTGGGCTGCATGCAGAAAATAAAGATAATCCGAATAAATTTGTTAATCGGCAACAGAAACTAGGCATGTTTTGATTATCAGACTCTTATCAAAACCCTGTAATGAAAAACAAACTGAACAAGCAAAAAAATAAATCACTAAACAAGTGGTTATTTGATCTTTTTATGCTTAATAATATGAAAAGTTGGACCGATATTTCTTTTGTCGTTGTCAGACGTACTTTTATACATATTTAAAAATGAACAGGAAATCAAGTCAATATAACTTTCTCTTTATCTCTTTTTTACAACAAAAAAACTCCTTGCATTGCAATTTAACACTTTTAAAAAATACTAACATTACCACTTTTTTCACATTTCTTTCCATGCCCTTTATAGATGTACATATATTTTCCCTTTTGAAAGAAAACATGTCTTCAACTAGAAATAATACAAACATGCATATAACAAATCCACACAAAATTCTTTCTAACAGTTTTGATCTTTTTGGCAAAATTTTTGAATTACAAGTGGAAGTCACAAAGATTTTTAGAAGCCTTAAAAGCCTGCAAGTGCAAACTTCATGAGGATTTTTTTTTCTTTGTGCTGGCCATGTCTACATACAACCTGACACATCATTAATGTTACAACACTGGCAACATTTTGACAAAAATAATGTGACATTTTGAACAGTATTCCAGGGTTCCTCAAACCAGATGGTGCCATTGTTTTTAGTGCTGCAAAAAAAATTTTAAATGTAAAAACAAATCTGATGTATGATACAACCTTTTTTTTTTTTTTTTGCGCAGTTATTATAAGGAACTACGGAATATAAATAAAAATAGAAATGTGTACCTTTGAAATAAGTCTTGGCAGCATTTTTGAATATTTTCACCAGGATCAACGAAGGAAGACGTTTTAAACAACTGCACACAGTCAAGTGGAGGAACAAAGAGGAGTCCTGAAAAGCAAAGTTATATCTAGTTTATGACATTGCCTTGAAACAGACTCTGAAATTGCAAAAAGACAAATTGTTGACTTTTACCAGCAATGCAGGCGTTGACTAGAGACACACAAGTCCCAGTGATCATGGCTCTTACCACCAGAGCTGAGATGTCACTTCTTCTTGGTGGACATATGGCAGCTATAAGAATAATGTGACAAAAGGAAAGAAAGGAAAATATTACTGTAACAAAGACTCAATTATGGGTTGAAAAAAAAACTAATGTAAAACAAAGTTACTCACACAAGCCTCCAATCACAATGCCGAGTGAACTGAAATTGGCAAATCCACAGAGAGCATAAGTTGTAATTATCTCAGAACGAACCTGAAACAAGAGAATCATGTTATTTTTATTTATTTATTGGTGCTTTAACATTACTTTTCCTCTGATTTTTGCCCCATGTTCTTAGAAATTAATTTAAAAATCATATCAAGGAAATGCTTTTTCTGAACAATTCTCTGTCAGAGTGCTTGCTGAACAGCAACCAATTCAGCAGTATTGACCATCAATATTTAGACCCAAACATAATATATCTACATTAAAAAGCTTTTTGTAGCATCTCAATAGCTATAAATTATAATTATCATAATTAACAGAAATAAACGCTTGATGTCACCATATGTAAATTTAAACTTATATAATATATGGATTTTACTTGTTGAAATAAATTACTAAAATAAATTAACTTCTGATGTTATAATTTATTGAGTCACACCTGTAACACTTACAGAAATCCACATTCTTTTGCCTCCAATCACTTCATCAAGTCCGTTAAGTCTGTTACTCTTCAGGTCTGACAACTTCTGATAAGCGACAAACTCATTGAGGAAGAGCTTTGTACCAATCAGCTCAGCCACAGTGAAACTCTCATCATATGGTATTCCCATCATGAAGGTGATGGGCATGAACACATATGAGCAAATTAACTGCAAACAGCAACAAAGAAATGATTGAATATATACCTTTTTTTTATTATTATTACTAAATTATTCTGCAATAATTAACTGTAAAGTAGCAAGTGTAGCTTCTGTTACCTCAAAGGTGATTTCGGGATATCCAACCATGCCTCCAAGCCAACTCAACGCGCTATTTATGAAGCCCAGGATCGCAAGAAATGCTATCAGATTAGCTGCAATGTTAGCAACAAGGCCTATAGATGCAGATGCGCCGCTGCTTGCAGCCTCCAAAATGTTCTGTTCATCTCTACAAAAAGAAATAAATTGTAAAATAATTTTACACACAAGTCAAACAATTAAATCAGTGCTGTGAAAAATATTTGCACCTTTATTTTGTGTAAATATCTTAGACAAAAAAAATATAATAAAAACAATTCATTCTGATCAAAGATATCTCAGAATCAGAATATTTTGATAGTTTTCCAGTGATGTTTACTTTAGCATTAAAGTTAAAGAGATAACCATTAGTGGCAACAGCTTGATAATGAACCTTTTACATTATGGCCTGCTAGCATTATTCTGCCTGTGAAAGATCATACCAAAACTGGACTTTGACTAGATCAAAGTGAGAACTTCATTTTTTTTTTTTCTGCAAGTCAGTTTGGGACTTTTTGACTTCTTTAGCTTATTATCCTGCTGCACAACTCATGTTTGTTTGAGAATAAAGTGACAAACTCGTAGCAAAGAGCAGAATTTTCTCTTCCATCTGATACGGCACATTTATGACGTTTTCTGATAAAAAGGGACACACCTTGTTCAAAGACTTCCACTTTTGTGTCACTCATCAACATAGCATTTTCCAAAACAATCTCTTCAGGATCATCCAGATCTTTTTTAGTAAATGTGAGATGAACTTTTGTGTGGTTTTCACCTTGGAACTCTGACTCATGTCATGTTCCTCGCAGTCTCTTTCTTACATTAAATAATGAACAGTGACTCTAAGACAAGTAAGGTCTGTCATGTTTTAGATGTTATTCTGGCACATTTTGTGCCCTACTGGATGTGAGTAACTTGAGTGAGTAATTCATGTTTCCTCTTTTGAGGACAATGGCTCATTGTGACCAAATGAAGCTTTTCCACTCTTCACAGACTGTCTTTTCTTTCTCCTCTAGTCTAGAAATTGTGAAGATGAGGCTTTTTGAGATCCATTCAGCCACTTAATGTTGTTAGACTTACTACCTGACCTAAGTTCACAGGTCAGGCAGTAATCGGGTTTGGGTGTGGCTCAAGAATTCATGACTTAATGACAGTAATGATACTGTTTCACAACATAGGACAACACTTTGAACGTGCAAACTCACCCAGCAGCCACTTTGATGTTCTTGTCTGAATTAAACTGACTCTCTTCTGTCTCAGGATAGGACAGCTTAGACATAGCCAAAGCACACGGTGCAGCCATCACAGAGGCCGATATCAATGAAGACGCATCAATCTGAAAAAGATCAAGTTTGCTGACATTCAACATATTTTACCCAGGGTTTGATACATTTTGCTAAATTTAAGAACATTTCTGCAGATTAATTATAATATTTCACATGTACTGACATCAGCAAAAACCAGTCTTTGTTTTCTAAATATTACACATTGTCAGCATTTTCCTCATGTTCAGTAAAATTTTAAAAGATAGATAGCATAAAACCTGCTCCTTCTTTATAGGACACATTTTGTTTTATTCAGAAAGTGACGGTAGGTTTGCATATAATGTTTACTTTGAAGTCTTTTAAATAATCTTTTAGTATGTTGCAGCAAGTTTGAACATTAGCGACAAATAAGAATTCCTTTTATTGTCATTGTGCAAGAAAGAAAGCACAACGCATCATCAAAACTGCTTCAATGTGTTTCAGTCTTAATAAAAACTCAGCAGGCAGGAACACAGAGTTCTGCTCTTTTAAGTTTAATTCCACAGAAGAACTTATCTTTACAAGCCTCCTCTGCAGAGGAGAGAATAATTTGTACAGCACAAAAAGATCTTAGTTGGTTTATGAAAGTTCTGAACTTTCATAAAACATGAAAGTTTATGTTAACCTTTTTGATAGATCTTTTTGCACCTACTGAGTTTATTGTAATCTTTTGAAGTCAGTTTTGACATGTACTAGGTCAACTACATTCCCTGCCAGCACTGAATACTCCTACTTTGTGCACAGGGAGTTGGGAGTACTCTGCTAAAGGCAACAAAGACCAATCAATATTATAGTAATTATAGTATGACCTTCATATTTTTTTACCATTGCCAGAATGTCAATGTCATATTATTTTGGGAATTTTAAAGGTGTATTTAAATAGTTCTTTTTCCTGCGCGAAGTGATGATAAAACCAATGAATCCAATGAGGTTGAAAAATCAAGAATCTGGTGTTTAAGATTTCTTCTTTTCAACCCAGGCTTGGACACAGCCTGAGTGTGTCCAAACAACACGGCAGCAACCAAGACTCTAAGTTTCAGTGTCAGTGCCACTGTCCACAGTCCTGGGCCCTGGACATAGTATTATGTAATG